CTTTTTAAAGTCAACATTTGAAGTTTGAAATTGTCTACTTAGCTGGAAAATGACCAATAAAACAAATAATGAACTTGAAATCTGAGCTGGGTAATTAGGAAAGCGTGATCATCTTATTTTATTTCTTGTTCATAGGAGAAGGAAGGCTGTTGTGAGGTGTGTGTGTGCATGTGTGTGCAATGTTTTGCTCTTATTTACAATTCTTGGATAAAAAAAAATAGTTATTACAAAAAACATTCATAACTCCTATCCAGCATAAAATACACAATCACACTAAAAAAACCCCCTCAAATTATAATATAAAGGTCAACGCTTTCAAGATTAACACCAATTTGAGTTCATGAAGAAATATGCTTAATAAGCTCATCTACCAGTTCTGGAAAGTGTTAAATAAACCATCTCCTTTTATAAACTGGACTGCAAATTTATTTTTTCATTCCCAGAACTCAGTGTAGTACCTGGCATACAGTTCTTGATGAATAGACTTCATGGTGCTACATTGTGAGTATAAAAGAAAAATCACAGGAACAGGTATAATTGTACCAAATTAACATAAAAAACAAAAGCTCCCTATAGGGAGTGTTGTGAGTCTGACCGCTTTGGGCAGTTGCCAACCCAAAGGCTCTAATTATGAGCACTCTGGTGTACCCGAAGAGTTGGGTGCTCCTACCAGATCTGCATCCAAAACTCACAGGAACTAGAGTAAACATAAGCTCAGCAGCATACAACCCATTACTAAGGCCGGCTTATTTAAGACAAAAAGCTATACACAGAACTAGATTGCACAAGCACTACTCTCCCCACACACTGTTCTTACTTACCCAGGGTAATGATGGCGTGTGCTCTAATCGCAGAAGGCATGACATAACCTGCAACCTGGGGGACTGGTTGAGAGGCTGGGGCTTCACTGCTACCTTGACAGGATGTTACTATAGGGAAAGGAAAAAATGCGTATTTACAGTACTTCTGGGGCTAACCCAGCCCCAGATGTGCAGTGCAGAGGATAATTTTAAATGCCTTACAATGATCCGCATCAGCAGAAGAAGCTAGAATGGACTGAATCAGAAGGAAGGCTCGCTTCTCCACGCTGGCTGGACAGAGTTGGGCTATATCTCCTAAGGTAAAAATATACTTCACCTGCAAAGAAAATTGGTTTTGCAGTAAAAATAAGGCAAAAGAAAAATGAACTCTAGCTAGATTAAGGACACATCAATGGAGTACTTTTTTTGTCCCCTCAATTGAAAAGAACTGTTTTTTCATAAAAATATAGCTATTGTAAAACTTCAGTCACTACTTAATAAAATTCATCCAAAATTAGGGTGACCAGATGCTTTTGTCACCTACATCTAGATACTTCTACAAGTAAAAGCGGGTGCTGGTAGTAATTATACTGTGATAACAGGTGTAAACCATGATTATCGTGGGTAAACGGGGACATAGAATTACCTTATAATCCCATCACCGAAAGGAATCATTATTGTTTATATTGTGTATAACTTCCTGTTCAAAGTATTTTTATAATCACATAGCTTTATGTTTACTTTTCTTATACACTTACTAATCACGCTATTTTAAAGTTTGCAATTATTACTTTCAATATTAGGCATCCTTTAGTGTCAATATANGTCCCTATATGTGGAACGCCCTACTTCTGATGTCAAATAATCCACTTTATGACCACACCCATCCATCCTTCTAGCTTTCTGACTCTCTCACCCCATTCTACTTGTTCTACAACTTCATTAGGCCCTCTAGAACCTCAGCTACTTCCTTTTCTTCCAAACCTAGCCACCTTTGTCTTTACTTCCTTCTCTAATCTCAGTGGTCTATTATTTTAGTCACTCTCCTGCCCTGAATCTCTCTGGCTCCTGCCTCCTTACACTTCTGCAGCACTTGCCCAGTTAAATGGAAACAATTCACTGGTTGTCTGGCTTTCACCCTGTGACTACTGTACCGCAAGGCCACCACCTAGTGGGCAGAGGAGAAAATATGTCATACAATTTTGTAGCCCCAAAATTTTGGGTTTATCACCCTATGACCAATGAAAAATGTCATGCAAATTTGCTCATGCCAGAATCTTCAGGAAATCCACTTGGACCAGAAATAAATTCAATCGGCTCTGCCACTGTAGTCCCTTTTGAAGATCTGTATTAGCAGATACATGTGGAAAAATTAATGTGTCTAATGTAAGCAGACAGGCCGGACCATTGGCCTAAAAATAGGGGAACACACTAATTTAAATGACAGCAAAGCTGAAAATTATGGTCCACATCTGAACCAAGGTTTAAACACACCCAGAATGCAGAGATAAAAAGGGAATGATCTAAAGGGGGAGTACTAAAATGCTACAAGAGGCATTAATAATCTTACCATAGTGCAAATATTTATCTGCCCTTCTAATTTCTTTGATTCATACTCTGATCACCTGTACAACAGTCTCTGTGTATATTTTATATACTAATCAATGCTCTTATTAACATACTCGTACAGGAGCTGACAAAAGTGGGGAAAACACAGAACTGCGAGATAAATAACCAATCTTTCCACCCAGCCTCATCATCTGAAAGCCTTCCAAGCACTTCTAATTGTACCTGCTCCTGGGCTACATACACATCATATAGAAAGCCACGAGCGGCAGTCTTATGGCAACAGTATACAGGTAAGAGGGCGCTGCCCAGCTATCTTGGTCCCTTTCCCAATTATATAAATGAAAAAAAAAAAAAAAACCCCAAAAAGTAATAGCCTTAGCTTTTTGCTTCTGACGCTAGACAGCATTAGAATGCTAACCTCTACTAGTTTATTATGTAAAATGTTCCTCCGTGGAAAATTATACCCAAAGGAAATTCCTCCATGGAACTCAGAGCAAGTCACTGGTGATCATATTTAGAACCAGAGGGGCCCATTATTGTAAGCTATTTATAGTTAATGAACTCTATAAAGACCTTTTCCCAACTGTGGTAGCTTTTGACATGGCATTCAATATTCTATTTTCCAACTGCAGATTTGCTTTAAAAAGAATTATTCATACAACATAATCTAGGTTGGCAAATTCTGTGAGATCATTTTCCAACCACTTGAAATCTTTAAAAAAATTATTGAATGACAGGAATTAAGAAGTGGCAAAGCTATTCCCTTCCAATTTTTACGAAACAGCTATTTCCAAGGAGCCTTGTAATTTGTGTACTCTATTTCATACTGTGTGATTCTGTCTTAATTCCTAAAATTTCTTCCTACAACTTCTGCACTTAAAAGAAACTCTGAACTCTTTATCAAACTCACATTTTATTGGTTTAGAAATCA